TAAGTATGGGTGCAAGCTTTGCTCATGCCCTGATTTTTTACGTCTTCCTTTACTCCCAGTGATTTTTGCCCATCTCTTCCACCTCCAGAGACCAGAAACCACAACATCAGCCACTGGGGTCCCAGTTTGAACAAGTACAGGAACCAGGCTCACATGGTGACACGAACCTGCAGATCATTTTAGACACAGCCATAATAAATTGGGAGCCTCCTTGCCAGGCATGCACTTCACCTGGGTAATGTGGATATGCACTGTTGTTCCAATTATTAAAAAAAAAGAAAAAAAAAAAAAGAGGGAAAGAAAGAGCAACTGAAACACTTCATATTTCTCATTTATAATCAGAGGGCAGACAAGCTTTAAAAGGTAAATTTATCATGCTTGGACATAGAGGAGAAAAAGAATCAAAACTTGGCGGTATTTTTTTTCCTGTAGAACATAAATGTTATTGTGCAGGGGGAATATCAGGTGATGAGGAAGCACGTAAGTAGAGCTATGGTGTTGCTTCAAGAACAGGCATAGGGATCCCAGAGCTGTTGTGGATTTCACCGATCTGTGCTCTTTTAGGAAGCAGTGGTGCTTTGATTATAGAATTATTGGTTATTTAAATAAAAGGATACTTAATACCACTTGTCCTAGAGAGCTCACAGCTTTTCACATTTGAGAAGCTCCTTGACACCATTCATGGAAGCACTAAGTGTGGGTTTCATCTGAATGAATATGATTACCTTCTATCTCATTCTGGTGGTGGTAATTCCAAACGCTTTTCTGCTAGTTTGTGCATGACATTTTACTTTGACTTCGGGGTGGGGAAGGAGAGCTGAGCAGCAGGGAGAAAGAACTTTTTTTACACAGCAGAGCTTTTAGTCCCTGATTAAAACATTTGGAAAAAACTCTGAGAGGGAATAGCACAGGAGGAGTTCCTTTCCACTTCTCAATTCCCTCAACTCATTTTCGTCACACTCCCATGTGTTTTTTCCATGAGACAGAACAATTGCCAGCCATTGTGTGTAAGGTATTGTGGGATCAGTTATGGTATGTAGGGGTATTAATGGGCATTAAAATACCTGAAATTTGCTGAATGCTCTCAGATTTGATATCTGTCCTTATCTACATGAACAGTTGGTTTATGCACTTTTCAGGATGTAATGTCCCAGTAGCTACAGCACATTATATCTTGGATTACAGAAAATTTCTTTACTGTTTCCTTGCTATCCACATCACTCCTAGATTATTTTATGTAGTTGTTACACAATAATGTAAGCAGGTACTATAACCTTCATCTGACCAAGAGGAATGATAATTATCTGCAGTACTGCAACCCACAAAAGCATAACATTTAGGGGCAGTTATCATCGTGGTCCAATATTTAAAAAGACTCCAAATCCTGCATCAAAAACCTTAGAGAAGGACTGGCCAAATTTTTTCAGCCTTTGCCTGCTCTTGGTTATTTACAGGTGAGAGAAGAGGTGAGATGAGGCACGCTTCTGAAAAGGCTTTGGAAGGACAAAAAGTGGGGGAGCAATTGGAAGGAACATGCCAAACCACCATGTACAGGTGGAGGTAGATGAGCTGAAGTAAAAAGGTCAAAGCGGTAACTTTCAAAGAATCTTGACCTGCTAATAGGAAGCCATCTCCTTCTTCACAGGATTCCTAAGAGTAGGAAGATTGCTGTATTTGGTAAAAAAAAAAAAAAAAAAATAAATCCCAAAACTCCATCTGTTCCAACAGGACCTTACTCTGTAAACAAACTGTAAACAGGCAAGTACCCAAGAAAGAGTAACAATGAAATACAAGGGTGAGATAAAAGTACTCTCCCAACATACCAATGCAGTGATCTGGGCTAAATGTTACTTCCGTATCTTATCTAGCAACTTGTCCTTTTATGGATCTGTCAAGCCCCCTTGAATCCTTGTAAACATTTCAAATCCTTCAGCAAGGATTTCCACAGGTCTCAACCTGGCTCCTACTAGATTCCTTTTATGTCTCCTGCTTCTTGTAATTGGAAGCAACAGTGAACAACTGATGTCTATCCATTAGGTCCATGTTAATCGAAGTTTGTAGACATCTGTCAGGCCTTAAATTGTTTCTACTGGAGACCAAAGAGTCCTCGCTTTCTTGGTTATTTCAGGCACTTAAACTGTTCCCATACATTTGGTCATCCCTGTTTCTTCTATTTGAACTTCTGGTAATGGTCTCCTGAAAAATCCTCTTGAATATAGCACATCTACTCTGTCCAAACCTTGACGTGTGTATGTCTTTCTCTTGCCCATCTCCCCGGAACCTTTGAACAGAGCATGCAAATGCAAGAAGAAAAAACTATGTGTGTGTGTGTGAGTATAGTTTTGAGTTTGCTGTTGGGTAGCTGATTAGCAGTGTCTTTTAGACAGCTCCAGTTAAGTTCCTTCAGGCACAAGAGCACAGAGGTAGGTTGAACTGCATGCTGTGTGAGGCAGAAGGCAGCAAATGTTCCCCAGTCTTTGCAAAACATCAGTGGGCATGAGAGCTGCTTCCTCTTTGTTGAGGCTCCCCAACTATTTGCTAACTTCCCAAAGGTATCTGGAACACATTTCCTTAAAGATATGTCCATATGGCATACCTGGCCTGCTCTGAACACAGTCTGGAGACACATGTGCAATACCAATTAATTAAAGCCTGAGTACTCAGCTAAGGAGCTACAATTGCACTGTGCCTCATAGTGCTGGCCTGAGTTCATGAGAAATGCTTTCCATTGCTTTTCCTTTTTGTTGTTCTTTTTTTCTCTCATCCCTTTGTCTTAATTATATTTATGCCTCTCCCCTATATGGTACGCTTCTGGCATGACAGAAATGATTAGGATTCACAGCTATTTCTTAGCTCACAATGAAGTCCGTTTGTTGGTACACCCTTTTTAATGGTGAACATTACAAAACTATTCAACTCCCCACTGGCTTTCTCAAAAAAAAACCCTACTAACCTTTTTTCCCCTTAAGTGATGGCCAGGTTCAGTAGTAATGGCAGTACTTGCTCAACTGTTTCTAATCAATGGCACACACAGAAGAAATAAAAAGATCCCGCTCAGGACACTGGGCTGATGACAGATGGACAAGATATATTCATAATTCTGAAGAAACCTTCATCCCATTTCTAACTAATTTTCCATCATCTTTTATTGACATGAATAATGCCAGGATAGTAGAATGGAAAGTGGAAAATATTAGTAGAGTGGGAAAAATATTAGGTTGTTTTTCCAGTTTGTGTTACAGATGTAGTACACATTCTGGTTTCTGTTTCAAATGTTGCCCACATTTTCAGCAAGGCTTGTAAATGTATTTTGCCCCCCTAGTACAACTGCCTGTTGACCAAGAGGTTTTATAATGAACTCTAGCCTTTTTTTGTTTGTTTGTTTGTTTGTTTGAGTGGTGATTTTTGTTGTGCTTGCCCAAATTCTGGAAGCCGATGAGAAACCTCATTTTTTAAACTAGAGTCTCTGTGGAAGCTTTAAAACAGAAATCAACAAGGGAGAGTTTGGGTAGGTCTTTCACATGTCACCTCAGGAACATGAAATGCTTAAACAAGAAAATAATTTTTAAAACTTTAAACAAAATTGTTGAGTCACATAGACGAGCACAGGTACAATATCTGAATCTTCATGCCTCTTTTACTATTTGAACAAACCTGATTATCGTTGGCAATCTCAGCCAAACCTAAAGGATATTAAAATGTGTATTTTGACATCTCATACATCAATTAGTAGATCGTTCATGTAATTATTATTCAGAAAAAGTTAAGTACCAGCACTGACAATGTGTTATTCATCTCAATGCCACCTGGAAATGAGTTGAATGCAACCTTGAATTAAAACAAATACGTACGAGACCAGCGCAGTGCTATGAGCTCCACACAAAGAGAGCAGTGCTGCTGCAAAAAACTTAGAGCAGCACCCTGGCTTTAAAGAACAGTTTAGTTTTCTGTCCTGCTCCTTTCCAGCACTGTCAGGAGGGCTCCTGACCGTGGTGGCCTGTTTGATTTCCCAGTGCAGGCAGATACTGGAACCTGAGGAACTGAACAGAGATGGCAAAACAGCTGTCAATTGTTTAACTACTTTCTATCACTAATAGTGACCTAGGGGTGAATGACTTCATATCACATTACCAAATCCTTGAAGGTTAGGGCATGTTTGTTTTTTTAAACTTCATTTTAGTAGGGGAATTTCTATGCCTGGCTTGGCTAATAAAACAAGAAGAATAATACATCATCCTACTACCACAGAGAAGTATGCTTATTCTGAGGAATTTACTGGTCAGTTGGAAAGAATTTTATACCCTATGTGAACAGATGCCACTGGCTTCTAATGCTCCTAAATTTGACTGCATTTTCATTTGCATGGTAAACTTCTTATGTTAAATACTTTCTAAAAACAAAGTCTTTAAACAGGGCAAAAAACCATACACTTTGAAGGCAAAGTCTAGCAATGATACCACAATTCACCTTTTTACTACTACTTAATTCAAACTTTGCCTTTCTAACACAAAATTGGACTTAAAATCAAAATTAAAAAAGGAAAAAAGTCTAGTTTGAAATACATATAAAAGTCTTTGTCTTCACTTGCTTACAGTAAATCGAGTTCCCTTATTGCTTGAGCTTCTTATGCATTCCATAGTACTCCTGCACATTGTTCAACTTTTTTAAAAACAATTTTAAGTTCCAGTAAAATTGTCCCCTGAAGGAAAATATAAACCTTCATTCACTGCAGAGCACGGTGGAGCCTCTAAAACTTTTTCCACTCTCCCCCACCCCGTATAAGCACAATTTCTTTTTCCACGAGGACACTAAAACTTTTTTCCTTTCCCCCTAGTGCAGCATCCTTCCTATTGCCAGCAGACGCTCACAGGACCTCTATCAAGAGCTACACGCTACAAGTGCCAGCGAAGCACACGACCAGGGCGGCAGCCCGAGCGCGCAGACACACCGGAGGGTGCGCGGCCGCGGTGCTGCCCCGCGGGCGGAGCGGGCCGACTTACCCGGCGTAGCGGCCGCGGTGGCCGCGGAGCGGCAGCGCAGCCTGGAGGCAGAGCAGACAAAGGGGCAGGAGCCCGCGGCGCGACATCGTGCGGGGCCGCGCCGGCACCGCCACCGCGGGCACGGGCACGGGCACAGCCACCGAGGGCACGGGCACAGCCACCGCCACCGCGGGCACGGGCGCAGGCACAGCCACAGCCACCGCCGCCGCGCCCGCTCCAGGTGGCGGCTGCTGCCGCCCACACGAAGCCCGGGCCGGGACCGGGAGGAGCGGAGCTCTCGGAGATGTTGCTGGTCGCCGCCGGCGAGGGGGGAAAGTCGTGGGAGGACGGGCGTCGCCCGCAGCCCCGCCGCGGCTGGGCACGGGGACGGGACGGGGACGGGACTGGGCGGGGAGGCGCCCGGCGGGGAGGGCTGGGGGTGCGGGGGGTGCGGGGGCTGCGCGGCCCCGCCGCCACCCTGCCCCGCGGGGAGCCGGGGGCTGGCAGGGGCCGGGCGGCGGCGAGCAGCCCCCCGCGGGCACGGCGGCTCCCTCGGCGCTGGAGGGACGAGCGGCGCGGCGGGGAGGGCTTGGGCTGCAGGTGCTGCGGCGAGGCAGCCGGCCAAGGGCCGCTTAACGCGCGGTCAGTGGCATCGGGGGATTATCGGCGAGATTTCCCCGGCTGGGCAAAAGAGCTCAGGCTGATGAGAGGGCAGAGATACACTTCCACAAAACAAAAAGCGGTGGAGAGGCTATTGGGAGCCACGAAGCGAGGAGAAAGTGGGATTTCATGTTACCAGTGTGGCCAAAAATCTTGGATCTGGGTAGTGGGAAGGGAAGAGAGGCTGACACAATAGGATGAAATGAAATCACAGCATCTTTTTGAAACGGGGGTTTACAGCCCCTTTTCCACGCTGATCAGGGTGAAAGATCCACATAAGAACAAGTCAATGGAGCACTGGGAATAACAAGAAAAATGGGAAGAATTTTGCTGCAAATAATTGTAGTTTATAGAAAACACACAGAGGACTTGTTAAAGAAAATGTGAGTAAAAATATGATGCCAATATGGAATAAATTGATAGCCCCTTTGATACTTTTTTGATACTTGAGTTTTTCTAAAAAGAAGCAAAAAGTGTTTCAAACTCAACTGATTCTCAGCCTCTCTGAAAGCAAAATGAATGAGTGGGCTGTAGACAAATAAAACTAGCTGACATTCGAACATGTGTGAGAACTACTGTAAATCCCTGTTAATGTTTCGGAGACACAGGGAGCCTTTTAAAAAAGGACTGTATTAAACCACACACACTTCATATTCTCTGGCTGTTAGGCAAACAAGCATTTTCCTTTGTCTCTTTTTCATATTGGCACCACATCTGACACTAGTTGTGTCATAGAGTCTAGAGGTGGAAAAGACTTTGTCCAGGGCAGGATTATTCCCTTCTGTTTGGTTACTGGTATTCTCTCCCTTGAGCTTCCTGTCCCCCACAACATACCCTGCTTAAAATCTCCAATTAATTTCTGGTGAGATATGTAGAGGGGAATTTGTGTACTTATATCTCTTGTTGAAAACACCTCCCATTTACTACAGACAACCCCCCAAACCTTTTCTATGAGTCTCCGGTCTTGTAACAAATGTAATTCAGCTTTACAAACACCTATTTAATAGAAGTTCTACTCTAGTTCAGAGGTGACTTCAAAGGGAAAGTCAGATGTCATGAAGTCAAGTAACTGACTTTTGAAGCACACCCCACTGCTTTATTTCATACATTTACTTTTCTTACAATGTGTCCTTGCTACACCTGAAGTGTATCACATAATACACCAAATTATTTAAATGTTTGAAAAATGTAAGTTTTTCTATTATCGTAAGATATATGCTTTTGGGATAAAAACCTGGCTCTATTGGAGTTAGTTTTACTTTGGCTTCTGTCTGCAAAATAGTTTGGCTATTATTCTAAAAATTTTGCTTTCAAGAGGAAAACTTGGCTCCATTTAAATTAGGGAGACTGTAATTACGGGCTTCTATGGCTATAGTTTTCAGTCTTAAATCCTGCCTTTCTGCAACATTCCCTGCAAGTAAAATGCAAGAAGGCATGAGAAAGAAAGGGAATTCAAAACCAAATAGTGAAGGAAAGTAACACAATAGGGAATAAATACACAAAAAAGGTATCGTTACCTTTCTTAACATGTATTGCTTCTACCGGTTTAAAATAAATTTTTAAAATAATTTAAAAGTACACTTTTAGAGCTGTGGAGAAGCTGGAGAGAGAAATACCTCCAAAGTACCAAAAAGGACTTTAAAAGGGGTAGGGATAATGAGGGCTATACAGATCCATCGGTCTCTCTTTGATCCATCAGTTTAAATTGTACTAGGTGACAGGGCAGACTGGAGGGAGGGCTGGAACTCTGACATGCTGGCAGCTAGGAGAGGATTAAAAGACTGTAGTCAAGCCTGGAAGTCACACATGTGGTAAGTCTACTTCCCCGACAAGATGGGGCTATAAAACTTGCACCCAGCAAAGCAAAGGATTTGAGACAAAGAAAACCAGAGTTTCTTTTCCTTCCTTTCTCGGAACTGAAAGGAGGAATTGACAGCACCAAGAGTTCTGATGTGCAGCTTGGAGGCGATGAGAGCCTGTGATGGAACAGGAGAGAGCAAACTGAGATACAGAATAAGATCATAGAGTGTCCTGAGTTGGAAGGGACCCACAAAGATCATTAAGTCCAACTACTGGTCCTGCACAGTATACCCCAACAATTCCACCATGTGCCTGAAAGCCTTGTCCAAACACTCCTTGAGCTGTCAGGCTTGGGACTGTGACCGCTGCCCTGGGGAGCCTGTTACAGTGCCTCACCAACCTCTGGGAGAAGAACATTTCCCTAATATCCACCCTAAACCTCCCCTGACACAGCTTCATGTTGTTCCCTCGGGTCACTGGTCCCCAGAGAGAAGAGATCAGGTCCTACCCCTTCTGTAGTTGTAGCAGCTTGATTTGCACTCTCTGCTCTTCCATTGCAATTCCACTCCTGGCAGGAAGGGTAGCCTTGTCCCTCCTGTGCTCTTCCTTGGCTCTTGGCTCCAGTTTTTCTTTCTGTGCTGGCAGGACCTCCACTACTGTTTGTGGGGCAGCAAATCTGTTCCGACTTATGGGAAGTGGTGATTTGGTTCTTACGTCAGCTGGAAAACCCTGCTATGGACCAAAGCAATTAAACACCAGCAAATCTGCTGCTACCAAGCCCTGCCACACTCACTATCAAAATGGTTAATATAAGCAAGATTTGACCTTAAATTTTCACCTTGGAAGTGCAGGATGGGGATGCTGCCTTTGGCTGGCTTGTCCTGCTTTTAGCAGTGTTCCTGCAAGAGCAGAGTGACTGTCCAGGACATGCTGAGCCAGAGAAGCTCCAGGATGAAACAGCAAAATGCTGCCTATGGTTTCCCTCCTCAAGATGGGGGATTTATCACTTTACAAGGAACGCAGGCAATTGCCAAAACAGAGGCAATTCTACATGGCATGGAAACAGGAAAGGCCTCATGTAAAGTGAGTGGGCAGGCAGACTACATTTGGTACCTGGACTTGAGAATATGCCATTTATTGAGAAAAGCAGAAAAAGGGCAATAGCTTCTTATAAACATGTTTTATACTCTGAGCTGCGCCAAATCTCACCTTCATGAGAAGGTTGCATTGGCTCAAATAAAAAATCCTTGCTGTACATTTGTTAGATTCATAATGGTTCAGAAACAGGAATTTAAACAAGGTTTATGCTGTTCTAGTTTAAATCATACCCATTAATAATAAATTAGACTAAGTGTGTTCATGCTGGGATTTGCACTGCTATAACTCATTAAAAAAGATTGAAATTGATTGAGTGCAATGTCCTTTTCAAGATCTGGTCTCCATTTCTTTTAACTCACACAGAGACCTTGACAGATGAAGGACAGTGAAAGTGGCCCTGCTGATTCTGTGCTAGATTAGGTTTGGGGTCTAAAATAACATGAAAGTGATATAATTCATGCATGAGTGCCACGGCCAGTTAGCTGTAAACTAACCACCCTCTGTAGTCAGGAGTGTTACTGTAGCAACAAAGACCTGATAAACTAAGGACTTCCCACCCCTAGGGGTTGGTTATTCAGGTTATGCTGGGCTTCACACTATCTGTGACAGGCTGCTGTTGGTACCTGAGCTAGTCTAAACTTGGGGTACCAGGCTGCTGCAGAGGCAGGACATTTAGGGTGTCTGTGCTCGTCTGTGTAGGTTTGCTACCTTTTCTATGCATCATTCCACATCCCTACTCCCATCTCCTTTAAGTTCCTTCAACCTCCTGCTCTGCCTGCTATCTGTGGTCCTTCTTCCTGGGTCTGCTGACAACCAGTACTTCGGAAGGTGCCCTCACTGTGGCCTAAGATGTAGTAGAACTGGAAAGAATAAATGGTCATCTAGTTTTGTTAAAATGAACCAGTGCTGAGCATTGCCTTGAAGGGTATTCAGATGTAATTAGCTTACTAAAATGAATTGTAAGTGTCTTTAGAAAGGATGAGTTTTGCAATTAAGAATCCTGACATTCTGTCTTCAGCTTACTTGGGGATGCTGCATTACTGTTACTGAGTAATTTTATTGGATTTTGTCAATGGCACTGAACTATTATAAAATGGTTCAATTAAGGGAAAGAATGGAACTATTGCACCTAAAGAATTTCTGTCTTCTGCTATTATTCTATTATTCTGCAGGAGGACAGGAATACAGCTTAAATATTCTTTTATGTTTTGTAAAATCAAGGGACATTTAAATATGGATATGTTTTAGAAGCAGCTAAAGGAAAATAGATGTGTAACTGACAAATCATCAATAGATCAAGCCCCTATAGGAGCCTCTAGAAATCATACTCATAAATCACATCAGAGAAGAGTATTACAAATCTGATGAATTCTTCCTTAGCATGGTTTTAGTCTTGGAAAGACTGCTATACTTTTGTTCATAGCTTTCTTTATATGTATGGAATTCCTTCTTAAAACTGTGCATAGGGAAAAAAAGAATCTTTGAAGGATCTGCATCAGGCAACATTGTGAAGAAAAGCTTGTTCTGTCTTGAGATTCAGTCTTAAGAC